ACATCTGTGGCTTGTCCATGGGCTTAGCAGTCTCCTTAATTTGTTTTATTTATTTCTCTCAGGGGTTTCTCTTAAGGTTTTATTTGGGGACAAACAGAATTTTGCTGCTATAAAGACTATAATTTATCCTATACAAATCAGAATCAATGATAAATGTACATGCTATCACAACTATGACTAGGTCATTACAAATAGCAATAATTGCCCCAAATATAACTTACCTGTGGAATGTATGATTAGTATCTGAAAGTCATGATATACAATGAATGAAATAATGAAAGCCTTTGGTCATAGTGGAAGTTGCAAGTTACTAAATCTCTTCCATTCTCCCTTCTCTAACGCCATCGTTGCTTTTTAATCCAACATTCCTTAAGTCCCTAAATTGACTATATTTGTTGACTTAATTTTCTTTGTATGCAAAGTAATTAAATGTTTGGTCCATCTTCTGCTAAGCTAACACCATCAAAGATAGATAATTTTAAAGATTCATATGATAGGATTTTCTTGCCAGTCATGATTAATTATGGCTTTTTAAAATTAAATGCTCTTATAGATAAGTGGTAATTCTGATAATCCTTCCAAAGTTAATTGAAAGTTCATGGTAATATATAAAATTAATATTCATGATTAAGCCTTGAACTTCCTAGTCAGAAAACTCAACCCCTTTAATTGTATAAGTAAAAAGTAGGTTCTTTAAAGGCTTAGCAAATTATTTTTCCTATTTTTTTTTTAATTGCCCTGTGTGTAGGAAAGAAGAGTGAGGAAAATTGAATACACTTGGAATCAATTAGCCCATTGGACTAATAGAACATGTGAACATTAGTCTACTAAGACAAGACTTAAATGGGTTCCACTCCCACTACCGACTATTCTGATAAGGATTACATTAAAAGGCCCTGGATAGTGTGGGAGAAAATGTGGACCAAAATTTAAAATTATAAGAAACACACCAGGTTTACTGGTCAGAAAGAGACTGGAGGAACTGGAGACAATGTGCCTTAGATACCTTCCAGATTTGGAACTGAATTCACCCTCAGTTTTTAGGCAAACAGTACATAGGCATAAAGGAGGGACAGTAACACCAGTGAGGTACGTACAGCATGGAATGGTCAACCATTCAAGACCAAAAGGGCAGTATTTACCCAAGGACAAACTCAGAAGGGTTGGAAGACAAGGTTGAATGAAAGCAGGAATCAAAGGAGAAAGTGGACTAACTGATATTACATGGACGGGGATTGCAGTCATTGTAATGAAATGAAATGTGTGATTTGTTGAATGTAAAACTGATGATCTACATTATAAAGTTTCATTCAAGTCACAATAAAAAGTTTAAAAAAACTTATATAAAACAACAGTATTATATAAGATGGTGAGAAAATAAGGAATAAACAATATATTGCAAATTAACTTTAATGCTAACAAAAAAGCTAAATTGAATCAGCAATGAGATAGTTATCTAAAAGAATATTGACAAAGAATTTTAAATTTAAATGCAAAGTGCTTCAATTTGTTAAAATAAGTATGTTCCTAGCTATCTTTAAATTTTTCACAAAATCATTACTTGTTTCCACTATATTTTATAAGGATCCCTGGCAATGTAGTAGTTAAAATTTTGGCTGCTGATGGAAAGGTCAGTGGTTCCAATGAGAACTTTGAACTGGTTCTTCTTAGTGCCAATGAAGTGAAACCAAAACAGAACTGTAAAGTGCGAGTACCGAACCAGTAATCAGAATGGAAATCTAATCTCCCTCTTAGGAAGAGTGTGCACAATGCATAGCAACCAAATGTCTTCACTGACAGAGTGGAAAACACCAGTGCCCAGCTCAAAGATGATGGCTAAATGTTTAAATGAGTCTTGGTCTTCACAGTCCAGGTATTAATCCATTCACTCACATCAGGCTCATGAAAAGGCTCTCTACTCCTCTTCTGAGTTTGCCATTCCAGGACTCTGACCTGCAACTCTTCCAGTCCCAGTGATAGTTTTGATATATCCACATTTTACAAAGTTGGATCTGTGCTAGAGTCACTGTGTTAGTCATGACTAAACAAATGCAAATCAGTTCAAAGCCTTGGTTGAACCCACCCAGTAGCTGTGTCAGAGAAAAGACAAAGAATTGGTTTCCTTAAAGATTTGTTGTTGCTTCTTTTTAAGTACCTCGAGTTGGGTCTGACTCATAGTAACCCTGTATAGGGTCTCCAAGGAGCAGCTGGTGAATTTGAACTGTGGATCTTTAGGTTAGTAGTTCAGTGCTTATCCTGCAGTGCCAAACCAGGACTCAGTAAAGATTATTGTTGTTGTTGTTAGATCTGACTTCTTGTGAGCCTACAGACAAGAGATCAAAACACTACCTTGTCATGGACCATTCTCACAATAGTTGTTAATCTTGAACCCATCGCTGTTGCCACTGTACTAATCCATCTCATGGGAGTCTTCGTCTTTTTTGCTGACCTCCACTTTACCAAGCATGATGTCCTTCTCCAGGAATGGGTCCCTCCTGATAACATGTCCAAAGAATGATAGACAAAGTCTGGCCATCCTGGCTTCCATGGAGCATTCTGGCTGTGCTTCTAACACAGATTTGTTTATTCTTCTAGCAGTCCACGGTACTTTTAATATTCTTCTCTAACACCATAACTCAGACGCAACAATTCTTCTATGATCTTTCTTGTTCACTGTCCAACTTTCATATGCATATGAAGCTACTGAAACTATCATGACTTGGGTCAGGTGCATCTTAATCCTCAAACTGATATCTGTGCTCTTCAACACTTTAAAGAGGTCATGTGCATCAGATTTGCCTAATGCATTACATGGGCTATTTTAGTTTTATGACTTCTGCTTCCATGAGTGCTGATAGTGGATCCAAGCAAAATGAAGTCTTTGGCAACTTCAATCTTTTCTCCATTTATCATGATGTTATTTATTGGTCTAATGGTGAAGATTTTTGTCTTCTTTACATTGAGATGCAACTCATACTGAAGGTTATGATATTCAATCTTTATCAGTAAGTATTTCAAATCTGCCTCACTTTCAGCAACAAGGTTGTATCATCTGCATATCTCAGTTTTTAATGAGTCTCCTGTCAATCCAGATGCCATCTTGTTCCTCATAATCCAGTTTCTTGGATTATTTGCTCAGTGTACAGATTGAATAAGTATGGTGAAAGAATACAACTCTGGCACACATTTTTCCTAATTTTAAGCCATTCAGTGTCTCCTTGTTCCAACCATAGTCTATGTACATGTTCCCCATCAGCACAATTAAGTATTCTGGTAAAGATTACAGTCTGGGAAACACTACGGGGCTGTTCTACTCTGTCATAGATAGTCCCTATGAATCAGAGTGAACTCAAATGTATACAACAAAAACAACCACCATATTTTATATGTTCCACTCTATTCTGTGACAGGCAGAGATATAAGAACATTATACTCCTCTTTACAGACAATTGTGCAACAACTTCTCTCAATTAGTGTTTTGTATACCTTTGACAGAGAAAAAAACTAATCAATATACATAAAGGAATCATCATACTAGGACAACTGAAAATATAAGAAGAATGTTATCATTAGAATCTAGAAACAAATCCAATTCCAAGGTGCTAGGTTGATATGTAACTTTATCTGCAAACATAGTTTTCAAATAGCTTCTTGTTGAGTGTCGTCAAGTCAGTTTTGACTTATAACGACCCTTTACACGGTTTGAACTAATGACCTTGTGTTTCTCAGTACAGTGCTGATCCTACAGCGCCACACTAAGAGTCCCAATATCACCTGGTTGTTGATGTTACTGTTGTTAAATGCTGTCAAATTGGTTCTGACTCATAGCGACCCTGTATAGTAGGGTTTCCAAGGAGCAACTGGAGAGCCTGTTGATCTTGCAGTTCAAACTGAAAATGCAGTCCAGCACATTAACCTACAGTGCAGTAGTATCAAAATTACATGGCATAAATGTATCTACATGCCTCAAAAACAAGAATTCTACTTCAGGCAACTTCCATTTGCTCAAGTATCATCTAATATATAATCAATATCCCTATCATTTTCCTTTGAATTGCTCACTGCAGTTTATGATTTACACCTTTCTAAAGAATACTAGTTCTAATTGTGTATTATTTTATAAATTATGAGCATTTAATTTATATATAACGTTTTTGTTGCAATTATTTGCTCATATATACTAAGTATTGTACTTCTTTTAAAAAATATAGTGTTTTATTTTTAACTACAAATATCCATCAAGAATATCCACATAGAATTTCTAAATTTTCCCCACATGATTTTATTTCATTAAGGCAAAATAAATATCTTTATACAAAGATGTCTAATGATGGTTTGAGCTCAGCTGCTGATCTAAATGTTGGCAGTTCAAGCCATCCTGCAGAAGGAAGTCTAGACCACCTGCTTTTGTAAGTATATGGCCAAGAAAACCCCATGTTACAATTCTACCTTGTGACACATGGGATCACTTCAGTGGAAATAAGGCTGGACTCCATGGAACCATCTTGGTCTTTTGATTCTAGAAACTAGTATTCACATTCTTATGCTGGCATCTAAAAATTAATTCCAAACTATAATTCATAGTCTAACAAATTAAGGAAATATCTGTCTCTTCTGACTTAAAATGCCTCTAAATCTAAATAAAATTTAGTTAGCAATAACAATTAGAAAAATAGTGTGAATTATAATATGCTATTGTTGTTAAGAGCCATTAAGTTGTTTCTGATTTCTATTGACCTTGAACAAGGCTTTTGAGGAGTGGATGGTGGGACTGAACCCCCAAGCTTTAGGTTAGCAGTACAGTGTTTATCCTAGAGCACCACACCATGGCTTGAACTATAACATAAATGACATATTATTAAAAGCCTTAATCGGGGACCCTTGAGCTAAAATATTATGATGAGTATACCAGTAAGCCTATAGTTGCATGATGTTAATGTTATTTTAAATCATAGTTTTTATAACAGTAAAATAAACAGGAAACTTTCTTGAATACTTACAGTTCCTGGGCGAGGATATGGAATTCTGCCCTGATAGGAAATCAGCTGATGATTGGGCCCTTCTTTGTGGGCAAAAGGTCCATTAAACACAGTCTGAATATCAGATAAATGATACACACAAACGGCTGATCCTTTAAACACTGAACTGACAGTAGAAAACAGAAGAAGATAAATTATGTTAATTTCCTATACTTGAATATCATTTACAAAAAAATAGATGCCAAACATTGTAATAGAAAGTTGATAAGATTCGTTTTAGAAAAACTGAATACTATGATACACACAGGCAGAGCTGGAAAAATTTCCAACAGTTTTAAGTAAGACCTTGACACATAAGACATTAAAATATTTAATTTATTCATTGAGGCAGTAGGTAGTTACTAATCACTGAAGAGTTTCTCTAACCATATCTTAAAGCCTCTAACTGGTTTATTTAGCCACAACAATGAAATAATTTGTGATTATATTAAGTAACTAAATTTGAATTTCAAATCATGATAAAATGAATATCCTGCATAAGAGGACACCCACCATATCTCTTTGTACTGAATATGTTAATGTAAGTATTCTCACATGTGCTGTGGGCTAATGCGCTACAATGCAAAGTCAGTTTGAACTGCAAGGTCAGTGGTTCAAGTTCACCAGTTGCTCTTCGGAAATCCTATGGGTCACTATGGGTCAGAACCAACTCCATGGCATTTAATAACAACAAAAACAACAATTCTCACATGTTAACATAGTTACTAGTTGGAAAAGTCTAAATTATCATTTTCTAAGAATTTACCTTCTTAATTATAGAAAATTAAAAAAATGAGAGTCCATACAAAGATTTTTTAAACTACCTTTAGTCAAGTTCTTATTTAAATTGTTTGAATCCTAACTAGAAACCAGATCAACTGAAGCCACCATTTTGATTCACAAACTTCTCTCTTATTAGATGACCAATACATAGAGACAATGGGAATAGTTATCTCATTGCCATAAAAAAAAGTTATAGTATCAATAATTCGCATAACTAGAAATAACCATTTAAATATTTTCAATATTATTGCGAGTGTGCTGGTATAAAAATAAATTTAAAAACTTATTTTTATGGAAATCAACATTACCTGGAATTTGGACATTTTTAATTTGTTTACTTCTTTGTGAATTGGAGCAAATTCTGTTAGAATAAGAGTTAAATACATACTGAAGAAAACTTTTTAAATATGTTTTGGGACAAATCTAAACACAACATATAATCAAAATCCTTATTAATTTCCTTTGAATTTTTCATTGCAGTTTGCAATTATAACATCCTTCTTCAAACTAAATGCTAAAATGTTTAGATTTCTATTTTATGGTAATTCTAAATTGACCAACGCACTACTATAATATTATGCTGAATTCATAGTTAATATTCCAGATGCAATTTTTTTAGAGAAGGATATGTGTAGGGTGAGAATAAAGTGAATTTTCTCCAAGTACATGGTAATTGGGATTGTCAATGGAAACTAGAAGACATCAAACTTTTATCAGGTATGAAACATTGGCATATGGAACTTGTAAACTCACTGTTTTGTTAGTTTCTAAACAGTTATCCCTTTAGACAGCACCAGAGCAGCAAACACTTTTAACAGAAATATCATAAAAAGGGGTTTCAAAGATCATGGCATTTTTCTACAGTATTTTAAAGCCCGTTGGTATTATTTTCTATTTGAATTAGCAGTATTCTAAATATGTCCTTCATATAAAATATCCTATATTCTTTATTCCTACAATCTAATTCATATTTTTAGTTCCTTAAGAAAATTATTACATAATCACTAAAAATACTCTATATAAATCTCTTGAAAGGTTAGTGAAACTTAAGTATATTTTGGTAATCAAGCGAAAGCAAATAAAGCTGAGTATGTAAATCATAAATATTATATGAACTTAAAAACTGAATAGAAAAAAGGAATTTTCAATAATTACTAATGTTCAATAAAGTAAACTGCTTAATTCATAAAATGTAGTAGTTTAATAATTACCTTGATGTTGTAAAAATGCCATAAACTAATGTAGTCCTTGGATTATCCGTTTCCAGCAGAAATACATCCTCTATAAAAGGGAAAATATTATTTAAGTTCCTAAATAGTAACTTGCACCCTAAGGAAAAAAAATCAAATACGGAAAATGGTATTTGAAAAGATACTTCGGCAGTTTCATTATATAATTTGGAAAAGGTACATAGTAAATAAAAAGTAAAGTAAATGAAATATTACAGACACTAAAGTTATATACTGGGAGCACCCTGGCTTTGTAGGTCAGTGGTTCAAGTCCATAGGAGAAAAGATGAGGCTTTCCAATCCTGCAAAGATTTATAATCTCAGAACCCCTACACAGATTTTTTTTTTTTTTTGAGTAAAAACCAAGACAGGACTATCAACAGCAACAACAAAAAGGATAGTGATGAATAATCAGTAACCATATGGGAACCATGCTTGTTGCTCTTAGGTCCCATCCAGTCAGTGCCAAGTCATAGCAATTCCATGCACAACAGAATGAAACACCATCATCTCACAACTCTTGTCATATCTGAGGCCATTGCTGCTGCCACTTTGTCAGTCTTGTTGGGAGTCTACCTGGTTTTCATCGATCCTCCACTTTAGAACACATGATGTCCTTCTCTAGGGACTGATCTCTCCTGACAACATGTCCAAAAAATGATTGACAAAATATCACCATCCTTGTATCTAAGAAATATTCTGACGGCATTTCTTTCGAGAAAGATTTTCCTGTTCTTTTGTCAGTCCACAGTATGTTTTAATATTCTTCAGCAACACATTAATTCAGATGCATCCGTTCTTCTAGGATCTTCCTTAGTCATTGTCCAACTTTCATATGTATACAAGGTGAGTGAAGATACCACGGCTTGGGTCAGGGGCATGTTAGTCTTCCGCTGACATTTTTTATCTTTAGTACTTTAAAGTGGTCTTTTGTAGCAGACTTGTCTAATCCAATAAATCCATTGATTTCTTAACTGCTGCTTCTCTAAGCACTGACTGTCATGATGTTATTTATTGATCTAGTTGTAAGGATTTTTTTCTTTTCTTTACATTGAGGTGCTGCACTCTTTGATCTTCATCGGTAAGTATCTCAAGTCCTCTTCACTTCCAGCCAGTTTTATCTTCTGTGTATTACAGGATGTTAATGAATCTTCCCCCAATCCTGAAGTCACATTTTTCTTCAGAATATCTAGCTTCTCAGATTATTTGCTCAGCAAATAAATATGGTTAAAGCATACAACCCTGGCACACACCTTTCTTGATTTTAAAACACTTCAGCAACCCTTTTTCTGTCTGAATGACTGCCTCAGGAGCACAATTAAGTGTTCTGGAATAACCCTTCTTTATAATAGTGTCCACAGTTTGTCATGATCTACAAAGTCAAAAGCCTTTGCACAGTCAATAAAGCAAAGGTAAACATTTTTTCTGTTATTCACTGCTTTTAAACAAGATCCATTTTACATCTCATGATCCACATCCTCTTCTGAATCTGGATTGAATTTCTGGCAGCTTCCTTTTGATGCAGTGCTGTAATTGTTTTTCAGTTATCTTCAGCAAAATTTTACTTGCACATGGCATTAATGACCTTGTTTAATAATTTCCAGTCTGGTGGGTCATTGAATGGAATGGGCACAAATGTGGATCTCTTCCAATTGGTTGACCAGGGAGTTGTTTACCAAATTTATGGAAATAAATGAATGAGTGCATTAAGCACTGTAGCTGTTGGTTGAAACATTTCTGTTTATATTTTATGAATTCCTGGAGCTAATTTTTTTTGCCCATGCCTTCAGTGCAGCTTGAACTTCTTCATCCAATACCATTGACTTCTGATCATATGTTACCTCTTTAAATGATTAAGTACCTTTTTTTTTTTTTTTTTTTGGTACAATGAATATGTATTACTTCCATCTTCTATTGATGCTTCTTGAATCATTTAATATTTTGTCCATGTTGTTATTGTTAAGTGCTGTTGAGTCGATTCCAAAACATAGTGACCCTGTATAGGGTTACCATGGAGCAGCTGGTGAGCTTTGAACCACCAACTTGCAGTTCATATGATTTTGCAGTCTGACGCATTAGCCCACAGCACCCATGGAATCCATCAATATTGAAGTCTGAGGCTTGAATTTTCCCTTCAATTCTTTTAGCTTGATAAATGCTGAATGTGCTCTTCCCTTTTGGTTTTCTAACTCCACATTTCATTTTAAGACTTGACTCTGTCTTCTCATGTTGCCCTTTGAAATTTTCTGTTCAGTTCTTTTATATCCTTTTCTTCTGTCACTTTAGCTTCTCTAGGCTCGCAAACAAGTTTCAGAGTCTCTTCTGACATCTGCTTTGGTCTTCTCTTTCTTTCCTGTCTTTATACTGACCTTTTGCTATCTATCTTCATGTATGATGTTCTTGGCATCATCCCACACTCTTCTGGTCCTTAGTCATAAGCATCTAATACATCAAGTCTGTTCTGAGGTGGTCTCTAAATGCAGGGGGGATGTATTCAAAGTCTTGAAAATATATTTTGTCTCTCATGGGCTTGTCTTAATTTTCTTAAGTTTAAGCCTGTACTTGCATCTGGGCAACTGATCATCTGTTTCAGTCAGCCAGCTATTGATTTGGCTGATGATATTGAACTTTTCCATTGTCTCTTCCCAGGTTGTTGTTAAGTGCCATCGAGTTGGTTCTGGTTCATAGCATCCCTGGACTTCCAAAGAGTGGCTGTTGAATTTGAACAATCAACCTTCTAGTTCAAACTGACCTTATGGTCCAATGCTTATCCTACAGCGCTACATCAGGATTCCACAGATGTAGTCAGTTTCATTCTTGTGTGTTCCATCTGTTGAGTCTATGCATATTGTCTCCTCTTATGTTGTTGAAAAATTGTATTTACAATGAATAAGTTATTGGTTTTGCAAAATGTCATATGATCTCTAGCATAATTTCTATCATGAAGGCCATGCTTGTATTGCAAATGAGATTCCAGATGAATACAAAAGAAGCTGTGTTATTAAAAAATTAATGATGAAATTGAAATTTCTTAAATAAGGAGCTCCGGTTGCATAGTGGTTACGAATCGAGCTCCAAACCGCAAAGTCAGCAGTTTGAAACCACCAGCTGTTCCATGGGAGAAAGGGAGAAAGATGAGGCTTTCTGCTCCCGTAAAGATTTGCAGCCTCGGAAACCCTGTACAGGGTCGCTATGAGTTGGAACCATCTCCACAGCACATAACTACCATCACCAAGTAGTAAAATCGTAACCATTAGCCTTTCCACATGAGCACAGCGGCTCCATACGATAAGCAGTGGACTGTGAACCAGAAAGCCAGCTGTTTGAGCCTGCCAACTGCTCTGAGGGTAAAGATGAGGCTTTCTGCTCCTGAGAAGATTCAAAGCATCAGAAACCCTGTACATGGTCATTATGAGCCTGAGCTGACTCAACTGCACTTAACAGCAACAACCAGCTTTTCCATGGAGTTCTGGTGTAGAATAAACATTGGACTGTTAACTTCAAGTCTGTGGTTCAAAGCCATCAGCCACTCCTTGGAAACCCTATAAAGTGTCACTATGAGTCAGAACCGATTCAAGAGCACATAACAACAATAGACTTTCCATATGTCAACAAAGGCCTACAATGCTTACCTTTACCTAAACAACAGGAAAGATGGAACCATTCTAAGTCATTGTAGCATAAACCTACTTGCAACTGACTTTGGACAAATAATGGTAGATTATGACATGACGACCATGAAAGAATTGGTACATTTGAGGTATGGTGTTGGCGAAGAATATTGACAGTACACTGGACTGCTGCCAGAAGACCAAATCTGTGCTGGAAGAAGTACAGCCATAATGCTCCGTAGAAACCAGGATGGTGAGACTTCGTCTACCATACTTTGCACATATTAGGAGGGACAAGTCCCTGGAGAGTCAGGGAATAAGAGGAAGACCCCAAAAGAAATTGATTGACACTGTGGTAGGACACTGGGCTCAAATGTAACAACAATTGTGAGTATGGTGCAGGACCAGACAGTGTTTCCTTATGTTGTGCACAGGGTTGCTACTTGCTCCTTTCAGCAAGATGGTATGTTACAAAATGATGATTATTTAGAACTATTTCCTAAAAAAAAACTAATAAAGAAAACATGATGATGTATGAGGAGACCAACTACCTATCTCAGTTTTTATAACTGTTAAAAGCATTGGACTGCTAACTGTAAATTTGGTGGTTCAAACCAGCCAAGCTGCTCCTCATAAATCCTATACAGGATGACTAGGCATTAGAGATGACTCACTAGCACATAACAACAACAACATATTTTTATTGCTTATCTCCTACCCCAAGATCTGAGAATAATCAGTGTTTTACATTTTCATGCATTAAGGCAAAGAAAAAAGTCATTTGTAAGTGTTATTTTGTAAATATAATACTGAAGTGTAACAAGTTATTTTCTGATTGAAAAGAGAACGATTCCTTTTTTGGAAAGAATCACACTGTTTAGCCTTATTTGACTTGGAAAAGAAAAACATTCTTGTTTCATGCAAATACTTATCCCAGGATTACCAAAGCAGGACTAAGACAGGGGCACAAGTCTCCTAATTTTTAGTCTGACATTTTCCACGTAACTTCTATTTTGCCCATTAGGTGCAATAGAAAAATATATAGCTATATTGTCATACAAACTGATTTCAAATCAGAATACTAGGTATTCTAATACAGATGAGAACTCCTGGTGTGGTTCTGTAGGATAAGCACTGTACTACTAACCACAAGTTCAGTGATTTAATCCCACTAATAGCTCTCTGGACACCTTATACAGGGTCGCTATGATTCCATGGTGCTTAACAACAACAACAGCAAGATAGATGAAATACACATTCATCTATAAAAGTCCAAGCATATCATTGATGGTGGGCAGTTGTGTGGTGGAGCTGATGCCAACTTCTAGCGAACCTGTATAGAGTTTCTGAGACTATAAAACTTTACGGAAGTCTCATCTCTTTCCAAGCATATCATTGCTGTTCTATAAATTTTATTAACATCTCTGTCTCTCTCTCACATGCACACACACACACTCATGTTCATATATCATGGTGAATTCAATGAACTACATGTTTCAGCAGTGTACTTAACAGCTAAACAAATAAAAATACTTAATGAAAATTTATGAAGAGATCATTAATTCAGATTAGCACATTATTTATGCTGAAAATATGCAGAGAAAATACATCTTCTGACAGTTTATTGAATAATATAAAACTTACCTACTAGTTTTCAAAATATATTTTTCAGTCTCAAATTACATACCAAGTTCATCAAAATGTGTTTCTGGACCATCTTCATCCATTACTGAACACACTAGTCTCGCTTTCAAAAACGTGGTCCACTTATTGACAAGGCTACGCAGTCCACCAGTGTCATTCTGAAATCAAATTGACCAAATCAATATTTGACCATTAAAAATTCAAATGAAACCTTTATCACTTAAGTCATTTGCAATACTGCTGGAAGATAACAATGTTGATCCCCACATCTGTACAATAATGACAATTAATATTTAAGAGCTCTGGTGTTTCTGTAGGATAAGCACTGGTGGCTAACCACAAGGGTTGGCAGTTCAAACCACCAGACACCACTCGGGAGAAAGATAAGGCTTTTTGCACCCATAAAGATTTACAGCCTCGGAAACCCTATAGAGGGTTACTATGAATTAGAACCAATACTGTTTTAGTATCATTTCATGAAACAGCTAGGGTTATAATATCATTGTCTTCTACTATGGTATCAGGTGGAAATGTCTCAAATGAATTTCATAAATAGATGTCCTAAAGGTTTCTAACTATAATAATGTTCACTGGAAATGGAGTCCTGATGTAGCACTATAGGATGAGCCCTGGTCCCACCAGCCACTCCTCAAAAACCCTAAACAGGGTCACTATGAGTTGGAAACGCTTAAATGACACTTAACAACAATATAATCAAAATACTAAAACATCATTACGTACAATATATGTATTAATTTGCTTCTGTTGATAATTCATCATTTACAATATGAACATAAATTGCTGCATAAGGGGGCATCAAAAGTTAAGGGAAAAATGAAATTTTTCTATTGACATATTGAAGCTCCCTGGTATACATCAAATTCTATTTGCAAATTCTACCGTTATAAGGAGAGTGAGTTAGTCCTTAAGCCAAATGGTCCCCAGTATTTCTCTGGATTATCAGTTAATCCTCAGTATTTCTAAACCAAATGCGTTCATATACTTATTTCTCTGGTGGGCCTAAAAAATGGGATTAAGCTTCTTAACAAATTATTCTTTGGATAAAATAATTTTGATTTTAAAAAAATGGTGCCTCCAAGCTTTCCTCCTTTCTCCTGCCTTTTATGAAGTGGTTGAGCAGTAGCTGGCCTTCACAGTTAGTGGTGCAATACAATATTTAAAGATAAAATATTTAGAATATTAAATGCTTTAAGAAATACTTTTGCATACATGATGTTAACTCTAAATGAACAAGGATGAGCTATATAACTCCAATATGGGAAAACATGATGACTTGTTGTTTTTTTGGTATTTGAACTTCCATTTATAATTATTATAATCAAAACTGTATTTTAATAAACCATTTCTTAATTTCCACTATTTTTAATAGTTCCTCACTAATTGTCTTTTATTGAAATTTATATTTAATAAACAAAATTTATTTTGTTTCTTTAGGTAAATATACATTTCAGCTATTCATTTTAATACCAATGTAATGAATGAAAAATAAACAAAAAATTTTCAAACTATATATATTTTTAACAACCAATAAAAATATGACCTTGAATTTTATTTGATTAAAATAGAAAATGCTTATCTTTTGTGGTGAATGTGATTGAACAATAGATAAAAAATATGTCTGCCACAGTTTCAAATCCAATCCATAGTGACATCATAGGAGAGAATAGAACTGTGCAGAGGGTTTCCAACATTGTAAATATTTATAGAAGCAGATGACCATATCTTCCTCTCATGTAACAGCTTGTGGTTCAAACAGTCTACCTTTCAGTTAGTAGTCAAGCACTGGAATTGCTAAGTCTATCATTAAATTCCAACCATATAGGACTTACAGGGCATATTCTAGCAATCATGGAGTGAATCTGTTTAGTGCTTCTGCTGTTGTCTGTCAGTTTCTCTTTGAAGAAGAAGTACACCTTAGCATCATTAGGATCAGTGCCATCTGGGATGACGTGTGCGTCCACAAACATAGGTTCTGTGAAAAAAATATTCAGACTATACATACTCGGATTGAACATGCATCTACAGGTCAACCAAGCAGACCACAGGCACATGCTTTCTCCATCTACGCTGCAGAAGAGCAATGCAATCTTCATAGGCAGACATCTAAGAGCATCAATTCTATTCATTTGACATATCACATTTGGAATGTCAAGTACCACAAAGTATAGCTATAGTATAATAGCTTAAACTATTTATCTCTGTCTGCAATATATTCTGGAAAGGCAGAAATTGCAAAAATTCTTTGTGCATTGATGAGTTTTAAAAAAATCAAAAAGCTTTTCTGGCAGTGATTACCCATGGAATCTGGTGGGGGAAAAATGTTTGTTTTTAAAGTGTGGTTTTCAGTCTAGTGCATATAAATTCAAACTCACTGAAGCAGAATGAGGAACTGGTACTCCAAGATCTGAAAAATACATCTTCTAATGATACAGCCTATGAAATGAAGGGGAAACTTTTCACAGGAAAAAAAGTTCCATCGTTTGAAGAAATAGAGGGTTTCCTTATTTCAAGAACAAAACAACTTTTACAGTAATCTATTTCCAGACATACTGGAGTAATAATTTAAAGTAATAAATGGACAATCAGTGCTTTCTTGTACTGGCCTATCAATAAAATAAGATGCTTAAATATGGTGAGATTCATGCTTAGCTGTGTGGTTAAGTGAAATGCCAAATTTGGCATCGGTTAGAATCTTTCCCCAAGGTGAACTAGAAAATGCCTTAGTAGTTTCTTCCTCCTCTTAAACTATAGCAACTGATTGGAATCATAAAGTAAGCTCAAATAAGCATCCTTCTTGCGGTGAATTCCACGTGACCCTAAAAATTGGAAACAACTGAACACTGATAATAAAGTTATCATATCCATGATTTCCAGTAAGTATTAGTAAAATTATGGTAAAGTAATATGTACTAGTTTTATAATCTATAGAATAAATAAAGAAACACAAATAGGAGTTTCTAAATATCACCAATATATTCATTTTATCTAAACACCAAAAACGTAGGGTACTTTTTACATTTGTCATTATTACACTATTTAAGCAGTTAAGTATAGTAAAATGCATATTTAAATGCAATGTCTTATGATTAAATTATTGGAAAATATGTTACATTCCTTTTCTTTCATACTGATGCTTGTTAAGATGAATACCACTCACTTTTACTCATTCATGTATGAAATTAATAAAATAAATAGTTAAAATAGGAATTATGGGCTATTTAAATTATTTACTTATCATAAGTATTATAAATCATAACATATAGAATTATCATTAACAATGACAAATCTTGTATTTTCATGTGTTAAATAGCTTCTACTATGGAATTAGATAAATTAGTTCAAACCATGGTGCTTTAAAAACATTGCAGAAAATATTGCCGTACCACTTAGCCATTTGGAATTGTGCTGATCAGTTCTGACTGCATTTCTCTTAGTTAAACTTCGAAAAATAGCAGCATCTGTCCCCATGAAATCTATATACATTCCAGAGAAAAGCTCCTCATCTGTGAAAAAATAGAAAATTTTAATGCAACTTTTAATGTTTTTAAAGCTATCGGAGAAATTGGGGCGATATTATTTATAGTAGATTATCATACAGATTGTAAAGTCTTTATAATTGTTCATTGGTTTCCATTGTCCATTAAAATAAAAATTACATAAAGTTGAACTTATCCTCATTATTGTTTACATTACCTTCACTATATTTAAAAACAATCAAACCTGTACTATGGGAAAATATAAATTTTTACAGTTTGATGAACTGGATCTTTGCTTATGAAGGCAGTTTATCAAAAATCCAACCAAAATAGAAGGATTCTTCACATCCAAGATCAAGCTTCTTTTCTTAGTGCACTGGGTTGATAGGGACGGTCAACTTAACAATTTGGCTGTCAAAATGGGGTGCTAAGGCATGAAGTGACTGGTTTAGAAGCTTTCATGAGTGTTCTTAGTTTCAGAACAAGGAGAATAAGGTAGAATCCCCACTTAACAGTTTTCCTCTTTCCCAGATGGATCTGATGAAAGGGGATGGGGGATGATGGTGATAGAACTTTATGATTCAATTATGAGTAATTGTTAGCAGAATTAATTGCAATTGTCACAACTGTAGTTGTAGAAGA